ATGAGCAACCAATATTAAGGGCTCAAGCAGAAGGCAAATGTTTTGAGAATGATGATGGCAACAAATGTATATATGTGCTTGACACAATGAATGTATGTATGGATAGTGATAAGAATTGTATGATTCCCCCAATAAAATGATTTAAAAAAAACAAAAACAAAAAAACATTTTTAATGTTGTTTCTTATTTAAATTACATTATTTAACTCTGAATTAATTTATTTTGAAATTTCTGTGTAATGCTTTTTATAAAAAGGCAAGATTAGAGTAAAAAGCAGTGGTTGAGAATGAATTAATCCGTTTTCATGTATTTCTTATGGGAAAAATTGATTTGGAACTCAACTGCACTGCTTCTCAATGCTCCTTCTAGAATAGATTGGGTTCGAGGTACGGGGGTCTACTGTACCTCAGGCTCACTTTAGAAAAATGTGAAACATCATAATATATGAGGAAGACATGAACAATTACCTGCAGTCCCCTTACTCTCTACTCTTAACTTCTGAATTTTCCCTTCCTGGATTTTTCACTCTTACAAATGTATACTGGAGATATATCATATTACATTTCAGACTGCTTTATATACTTCCTTTACTCGCATAACTTTAGATGAGAAACGTTTTCTGTGTCTTTAATGCTCATTACAAACATTTAAAATAATTGCCCTACATTCCATAATACCCACAAAGGTTATTATGATTTATTTAGCCATCCCTCAAACTACAGGTAACATGGCATAAAAACAAGAGAATACCAGAACACTTAATTGTGCTTATGCAGAACCTGTGCTTGGAACAAGAGGCAGCCATTCAAACAGAACAAAGGCAAACTGCATGGTTTAAAGTCAGGAAAGGTGTGTGTCCTTTCACCATACTTATCCAATCTGTATAATGAACAAATAATCTGAGAAGCTGGAAATCCTAGCAAATAACTGTGTGCAATCATGAAAATTGGGTGTATTTCCTCTTTTTCTGATGGCTCTGGATAAGAGAAAATGTAGGATGATTCTAATAGGATTATATGATTCAGTTGTGAGTGATTATTAACAGAGATCATTGTGATTGTAAAAACTTAGAACTCTATTATAGTGATTGGTCAATGTTCGCATCCTGCTGAGTACCAAATGAGCCATGTCAGAAGCAGGCTAGAAGAGTCAAGAATGACGTGTGTCCTTTGGGCCCTGAGATGCAGAGCCCCTTAAATCCAGGAGACAGAGAGTAATGACACCAGGGGACCAACAAAAAGTGGCAGCAGCAAAGTCAGAGCATGTGGCAGAGTGGTGGGCTTCCTGGTCCTTGGGAAAATGTGCCTTCAGTTAGGAGCCTTGCTTGTGGAGTGGGGTGCCTCCAAGCACTTAATTGGGGAAGTTATCTGACCCATAAGCTAGAGCCAAGTGCCTTTGGGCTGAGGTTTTTGGTGGAGTGGTACACAATTTGGGCATTTTATCAGCAGTGTTAAAAGAGCTTTGTAGCATCACCCAATCAGGGCAGACGCCAGTCCAAGGGGTCAAGGATCAGAGGGAAGCATGCTTGTGGGCATGGCTGAGAAAAGACTGTCTTGTCTGGAAGAACTGTCTTTTAAGCATGTTTGATCCTGAATTATAAGCTATTAATTTCTCTAATAAAGCTCTTGCAACACACAATCAAGATACCTGAGAAGCAGAGTGTCTTCAGAAAGACAGTTGATCTCAGAGTTGATAAGGAGGGTTGGATGGTGAATGGAGTTCAGCTTCCTAGGAATTGACCCTGGGCTGATGTTTGATTCTCCTTCACCTTTCTGAAATCAGAGGTCAGATGTGGTCTCCATGCTCTGTTTACCACAGGTACTAGATGGAATGTGAAGGTGCTTCCTTCGGGATTTTAAGAAGAGACAGCCATTGAAGGTCTTAAAAAGGTTCAACTGCTTTGACCTTCATCAATGCAGCGAAGAACAATTATTTTTAAATGTTCTAAAGAACTTTATAAAGGCCTGGGGAATGGTTCTCATGTAGTTCTGTGCGTAAAGGCAATAAACAAAGCCATCTAGAATATACTATACATAACTGGTCGATCTCTAGGGGGAGAGGGGAAAAGCCCAGGAAGGAGTGACACCAAAAGCCAAGAGGGCACTGGGACTCTGCAGATGATTTTCCATTTCTTTCTCATATATTCCTGTGTGCACAGGGTCCTAAAGCAGCGGTTCTCAACCTGGGGGTCGCGACCCATTTCAGGGTCGAATGACCCATTCACAGGTTCACCTGATTCATAACAGTAGCAATTACAGTTATGAAGCAGCAATGAAAATAATTTTATGGTTGGGGGTCACTACATGAGGAACTGTATTAAGGGGTCTCGGCATTAGGAAGGTTGAGAACCACTGTTCTAAAGTAAGCATGACATACTTAACCAGTAAAATCAAAACTGGATGGATCAATAATCATCATTCTGTTCAGAAAAGTTTAGGTGGCTCATCTGGAGATTTGGGGATATGCTCAAAGTCCGTGATTTTTGCTCCATACAAAATCCTCCATTTGAAGTGACCTTGAAGATAGGAACACTGCCACACATAATAATCCTGGCCTGCACTGCCAGGAGGTTCTTTTGCACTAAATCCCTTCTGCTGAGTTAAGCTCAAACCTGTTCCTTCTTGTCTTGTTCTTGATGAAAAAAGTAACAGCTGTTTCATAGGCTTCCATTAAGAAAACCTTGTTAAATCTCCCTTCGTCCTCTGTCTCCTCTGATACTCTCTGCGTAGGGCCTGACATTAGCATTTGTTCATCGAGCATGAATCTCCTCCCATGTGCACTCTCTACCTTTCCCATCCCAGGTCAACAGACCCTACAGACAGAAGTGTGCACTGCAGGGCTCACCAGAGGTGAAGATAGAGATGACCCACAAGTGAGATAACCGAAGTGATGATTCAGGGCTGAATGATTACATTGGTTTGGAGCTTTACGGTAAATAAGGAAGGAGAAAAAGTCTCATTTTTCCATTTTGGAATTTCCTTGGGCTCTTCGCCAAGAGAAAATTTCCTTCTATAAATGGATCCCAAATCCATTACATATCTTTTTCAGAAATGTGAGTGTGGCAAAGAAAGGAGATTGATTTTAACCAGGTATAAATCTAAAATGAGATGATGGTGGCTAATATCTTGAAGCCATCACTTAAAAAGTGGCCTTTGCATCAAGTAGAATCCACCCCCTCCCTTTAAAAAACAAACCAAATAAGACTGTCCAGAATTTCTCGGGCACTCACCAGATGTCAGACACTATACTAAACACTTTGCCTGTGTTTGTGTAATTCCTCACAGGAACTTGGTAAAGTGAGTACTATGATTACCCCAACCACTTTGTCAGTTTGTCTTACTGTGGCTTGTATGTGGCTGTGATGTATCATTGTATATCTTTTGATTCCCAGAAAACCAACCTACTAACAGTTTACTGTTAACTGTAAGCCTTCCAGATAACATAATCAATTAACATATATTTTGGATGTTAGATGTTAGATGTTTATGTACCCACATAAAAGCCACATTTTCAATATGAGATAAAAAAAGGTACTTTGCAATTGTGCAGTTTTCCTATCTACTAATGTGGCTACAAGAATATCGTCAACATTCTTTTTCTCTTTTCACAAGGGTCCAGCATTTCAAGGTGAGTGAACGTAGCCTAAGGACCTCAATCTACAGCACCTATCAGGCAAGTCAACCTTTTCTTCTAATGCGATGACTTCTCTCTCTTTCTTGAGAGCACGTCCAGCATTATTAGTGGAGTTTCACATGGATTTTATGGTGCTGTTTTAAGTTTACAGTGTTTCACTAAGCAGGATGAAAAATACTTAAAATACGTGAGAAATCATGTTTTACTACCATACACAAATACTGGAGAGATGAGCTGCTCAAGCAAAGATGACTAACGTTGTACTGTGTATTTTTAGAAGTTCATGTATAAGTCGACCCGCGCAGTTCAAATCTGGGTTGTTCAAGGTCATCTTTACATAGATAACCAGAGGGGCCTTACACACAGCAATGAAACACTGTGCTGTGCACTAAGCCATAAGATACCTCAACTCTCTGTCCCCAGGGTCCAACTTAAAAATTACCCCCAAAGCTTAGCTCCCAAAACAGCTGTCACTGAGTTGACTCTGACTATGACCCCAACTGTGTCAAAGTCGAACTGTATTCTGTTGGGTTTTCGGTGGCTGATTTTGTGGAGGTATATCATCAGATCTCAAATCCCACGTACCTCTGGTAGACTTGAACTTCCCGCATTTTCGTTGGTGGCTGAGTGCGCTGAATAAGGTAGAAATGTAAAGCCCACTGTCCAATATGACTACAGCTAGGGTGTGAGTCTTCCACTCTCAGGGGCAGGGGGGCAAGGGGGACATCTGCTCCATAGCTAAGTCTATTTATGCTTCAGCAATGACAGCTTAAATGTAATCTTGGAGAAAAGTGCATTAGTATTAATTCTTATATGCCAGGACTCATTGTGGACTCACTGGTGAACATTCACCTATTCATTCACCACGTTTTCCTCAAGGGCTTCTTATGTGCCAAGCACATAACCTTCACGGAGCTGTCGGCTACTGAACCACAGTCTTCTAACCACCGTCATCCTCCAAGACCTCTCCTGCTGGCTTTCCCAGTTAGTTATAGAACTATAACTCAAGCCCAGCCCTTGCCCTGGGATGACTTTCTAAAGCAGTGATATTTTTCCCCTGACACACAAATAAATGTTATTGTAAGAGTGTACTCATTTTCATTAATTAAAATATTTGTGTGTGTGTGTGTGTATAGCTCATCTTTCAAAGCGGGTTGATAAAAAAAAGAGCAATGTGTTTAATTACAACCTTAATAAATGTACCAACATCCACTGTGTTCGTGTTGGCTAATGTAGTAAGTTCCTTCCCTATGAATGGTATTTCAGAAACAAGAAAAGAATAAAATTCTGGAACAGGGATTTCTAGTGGGGCTCCAAGGAAGCCACAAATCTACAGGAGTGCCAGACTTGCATTTGACTTGACTTACCTCAATCGTTTTACAGGTGTCTTCCAGCTGGCTGATCACTCCCTGGACTCTGTCGTTGCTGCCAACAAGAACGGCAATACCATCACTGAGTTCAGACTAAGAGAGAAAAGAGGGGCACAAGATTTGAGAGTTTTTATCGCCTCCCCTGACTGCACACGAGTAGTGCTGTCTTAATCTAAGGCCCACAGCACCCAGAAGAGGAATAGAGAGTTTTGAGAGGCCTGTGTGCTTCTTGATATCATGTACAGAAGTTGTTCGTACATGAACAAATGCATTTTCTGGGAAGAGCTTTCGTAATTTTCCATGAATACTGTGATCCTGCTAAAGACTGAATGATAGGCCACAGATACAGAAGTGCATCTTCAAGCTAACAAAATTACATGTAATCAGTAACTGTATTTGACTCTGATGCATGGTGACCCCATGTGTTTCAGAGAATTGTGCTCTGTTTGGTTCCCAATGGCTGAGTTTGGGGTATTCGTTTTTGCCAGGCCTTTCTCTTAAGGAGCCCTGGTAGTGGAGAGGTGACATGTTGGGCTGTTAACACAAGGCTGGCAGTTGGAAACCACCACCAGCTCCTTGAGAGAAAAATGAAAGCTGCTACTCCTGTCGAGCGACAGTCTCAGATGGAGATGGACTCCATGGCAGTGAGTTTGCTTTGGGTTTTTCTTTCAAGGTACCTCTGGGTGGACTTGAACTTTCAAACCTTTGGTTAGTGGCCTGTTAACTATTTGTAACATCCAAAGGGTCTCCATTGCTTTAGATTTTATGAAAGCACACTGCCATATCTTTCTCCCATAATGGATTTGAACTGCTGACCTTTCAGCAGGCAAGTGCTTTATCTCTGTACCACCAGATATTAACACCTTCTAAGGGGTGCACATAACTGTGCTCATAAAGAACCTATGCATAGACGATGAGGCAGATGTTCATAAAGAACAAAGGGATACTGTGTGGTTTAAATTCGGGAAAGATGGGTGTCGGGGCAGTACCCTTTCACCATAATTATTCTATCTGAATGGTGAGAAAATAATCCAAGATGCTAGACAATATGCAGAACCTTGCATCAGGATTAGAGGAAGACTCATTAACCACCTCAAATACACAGATAGCACAACCTTCCTTACTAAACGTAAAGAGGGCTTGAAGCATTTACTAATGAAGATCAAAGAATTAGGCCTTCAGTAGAGACTGCCTCAACAACAATAAAAATTCCTCACAATTAGACCAATAGATAATATCAGCATAAACTGAGAAAATATTGAAGCTGTCAATAATTTCATTTTCCTTGTATCCACTATCAATGCTCATGGGAGCAGCAGTCAAAAAAATCAAACACTGCATTCCATTGGGCAAATCTGCTGTGAAAGACTTCTTAAAAGAGCAAAGTTATTACGTTGAGGACTAAGCTACACCTGACCCAAGCCATGGTATTTTCCATCATCTCCTATGCATTGGAAAGCTGTACAATAAATAAGAAATACCAGAGAAAAATTCATGCTAAAAATTGTGGTGTTGGCAAAGGAGGTTGAATAGTCAATGGATTGCCGGATGAAAGAGCACATCTGTCTTGGAAGAAGCACAGCTGGAAAGCTCCTTTGAAGCAATGAAGGGGAGAGTTCATCTCATTTACTTTGGGCATGTTATCAGGAAAGACCAGGCCCTGGAGAAGGAATCATGCTTAGTAGAGTGTTCATGAAAAAGAGGAAGGTTCAATAATATTGATTGACAGAGTGGGTGTAAAAATGGGCCCCAGTATAGATGGGCCCTAACATAGACCAGGAGGACAACCCAGGACTAGGCAGTGTCTTGATCTATTACAGATCAGTAACTATGACAGCGCCTAACAATAACAGAGATTCCTAAAGAATTGTGAAGATTGTTGATAATTGCATGAGTCAGTCTGGTGGTGGTGGTAGGTGCCACTGGGTCGGCTCGGACACGCAGTGACCCTCTGCACAACACAACGAAACATGCCCAGTCCTGTGCCATCCTCACAATTGTTTTTATGTTTGAGCCCATTGATACTGCCACTGTGTCAACCCATCTCATTGAAGGCCTTCCTTTTTTTCACCAACCTACCAGTTTATGAAACATGATGCCCTTCTACAGGGTCTGGTCCCTCCTGACAATATATCCAAAGTATGCAAGACGAAATCTTGCCATCCTAGCCTCTAAGGAGCCCCCTGGCCTTACTTCTTCCAGTACAGATCAATTTGTCCTTTTAGCAGTCCATGGTACTCTTTCAATATTCTTCTCCAGCTCCACAATTCAAATGCACTGATTCTTCCTCCTTCTTCCTTATTCAATATCCAACTTACTCATGCTTATGATGCAATGGAGACTACCATGACTTGGGTCAGGTGCACCTTAGTCCTCAAAGGAACATCCTTGCTCTTCAATACTCTAATAAGGTCTGTGCAGCAGGCTTACTTAATGCAATATGTCTCTTGGTCTCTTGACTGCTGCTCCCATTGAGGCTGGTAAGTGACATCAAACACCCAAAGCAGTTATCTCCCTACTATAACTCAGGATCCATTTAACTTGGACGATGTATATAGTAAACACTCATTCATTTATTGGCATATTCAGCATATACACTGTACTACACATACAATATGTGTTAATGGGTACAATATGTGTACCATGGCATGAAGGACCTCTAGTGGTATAGTGAACTAAGCCATGGGCTTCTAACAAGAAGGCCATCACTGCAAGCTCGCTCACCATCCTCCAGGAGGATGAGAGACAGCCTGCTCCTGTAAAGCCTGACAGCCTTAGAAACAGCTCCACTCTGTCATCTAGGATGACTGTCAGTCAGAACTGACCAAAGGCAGGGTGTTACTCAGCATGGCGTACATGTAAAACTCAAAGTCATAAAACAGTCCAGGCTTACTGCTTGAACAGATGCCAGTGGACCTCTGAGACCTTTGCTCTTAGTCATCCTTCAGGTCTGGAACTGAAATTCCCGTGGTCAATTTTCAGTCAAGCAGTAGACAAGCCTATTAGGGGAGCAGTAAAACTAGGGAAGTACCAATTTCTCATAATAATTAACCATTTGAAATAAAAGGGTAGGATTTGCCTAAGGACAAAGTTCAGAAGGATTAGGAGAAAAGAGAGAAGTGGAAACAAGAAACAGGGAGAAAGTGGGGCACATGATGTTACTATGGGGAATTGCAATCAATGACGTAAAACAAAATGTGTATGGATTGTGCAATGAAAAACTGATTTGCTCTGTAAACTTTCACCCAGTTCACAATAAAAAGGAAAGGACAAATATAGTACATTTATACGACCACATAGTAGGCTAAGATATGAAAAACCTCTTGCAGAAGAGTGAATTTCTCCTCATGGTCGCCCCGTGTGTTAGAGAGTAGAGCTGTGCCCTGTAGAGCTTCCTTGGCTCTGACCTGCCTGGGAGCAGATCAGGCTTTTTGTGTGGCAGTATTCCTGTGGGGTTCATAGCAGCAATCTTGGGGTCCCGGGCAAGACATTTCAACTCCTTTCAATTTTTGACCTGCGAAGAGATTCCATTTTTTTGTACTTATCTACTATCAAGGTTGCCTATGGAGGACAAAGAGTACTAAAGGGGAACTTAGAGGACCCATATGTTTTGTTTAATTATGTCCTTAATTTCTCAATGACATTGTGCAAAATAGGTAATCAACTTGGGTCCTAATTTGCTCATGTTTAAAATGCAACCGACCAACAAACAAATCCACTGCCCTCAAGTTGATTGCAACTCACAGAGACCCTATAGCATAGAGCGGCCTGCCCCAGCAGGTTTCCAAAGATTGACTCATCTTTTCCCTGATGGGTTCAAACCTCTGACCTTTTGGTTAGCAGCCCAAATGGAAACTGAGATGGGATGCCAGTGTGTAAAAGTGAAGCTGGTTTGACTGAGCAGGAAATGGAGTAGGAGATCCACCAGTTTGTCCATCTCTTGAGTCGCCTAACCCTTACCTCGTGCAGTTCTGAAGCCATATCCTGAGTCTAAGGCTCTAAGGGAAGTACAAGTGTATTTATATTCTAGTCATGACGAACTACTTACAATCATCTTTATCATTAGTAATAGGTGCTAGATGCATGGTTGTAACATGTAATTTGCTGGTATAATTCTCAGATATTCACTTCGTGATTTATCATTCAAAACCCTCTGTAAAGGGGCGAGTCAAAACTGATCATTACTAGGGTTTATTACTTGCAATACTTGCAAGGGTTTATTCCAAGCAAAACATGTTTAAACCTGTCTCTGAAATCAATGGTGGCTACAGACAAGTTCTCTTAATAATGTACTTGATTTACTATCATTGGGGTACCCTCAAAACTTGTTTTGTGGCATGGAAAAAAATGATTCTGAAATCAGGACAAATATCAAAATTTTAACAAAACTCAAGTGGACAACTTCCCAAATCATTGAAGCTTTGTGATAAATGAATGGGAATGTTGCCCCACATAAAATAACAGTTTTTAGATGGATCTAATATTTTAAGGATGGCCAAGAGGATCTCAAAGGTAAGCCAAGACAGGGAAGATGGTTGAGTCTACAAAAGAAATCGCTGTGGCTAAAGCCCAGAAACTGGTGGAAGGCCATAGAACAACCATTGATGTCATTGCTATCGAAGTTAGAATCTCATGTGGTGGGATAGTTACATAATTTCATGTCAACTTAAAGTATAGGGGAGTCTAGACTGTCAATCAGGTCACAGCCTGATGGTGCCTCCTTGTGGACATGACCTCCTCCTAAAGAGGGTCCTGGGAACCTCCCCCTGTATCTCCGCCTTCACCTTCCTGTTGAGGAGCCCCATGGAGACCTGCGCCAGCCCTGGAGATGCTTCCACCACCATTGGATCCACACAGCTCTGCACCCACCGGCCTGTGATCTTCCTGCATTCTGCATTATTGCTCGGGGATGTGTGAATCTGAAGAAGGATTTGTGGACTAGTATCATACTTATGGACTTCATCTGGACTGGGCTGGGATGTTTTCCTGATGTATAACTACTTCAATTTTAAGTGAGCATCTTGGGCTCAGCAAGCTTTCAAGTCAAGTAGTGCCAAAGCACAGCTAACGAATTGAAACTGGAGAAGAGTCTTGGGTTTCCCGTACTATTCAGAGAGTGAGGTCTAATAAGACCAGTGGCTTTGAGGGGATTGGCCGGGACAGTTAAATTCGGGACAAAGAGGTCAGCTCAAAAGGTTATGGTGGCTGTTCTTTTAAGATTTCAAACAGGTAAAAAAAAGGTCCCCCCTCAGAGCATAAAGGACAATCATAGGGACATTATTAGGAAGAAGTTTTGGTGAGAAAATGATAAGAAAAGTTGCATCAGGGAATTTTTTCCATCATAACCAGGTACCTGCTCATTCCTGGAGGGTAGCAAGTGCTGTCATAGTTGAATTTTGTTAATAAACCTTCCCCCACCCACCCTACAGCCCTGATCTTGCCCCTCAGACTTCTTCCCAAAATTTGAGTCCCTTATGGACACCAAATTTGTTGTTTTAAGGTGATTAATAGAAGAGCATATAATTCTTTGAGGTAGGACTACAGTAGCGGTTCTCAACCTGAGGGTCGAATGACCCTTTCACAGGGGTCGCCTGATTTTTAGCAGTAGCAAAATTATAGTTATAAAGTAGCAATGAAAATAATTTTATGGTTGGGGGTCACCACAACATGAGGAATTGTATGAAAGGGTCGCGGCATTAGGAAGGTTGAGAACCACTGGGCGAGAGAGATGGAAGCGCAGCTCTCAGACGTGAATGGACCCAGATGGAGGATATGCTGAGAAACAATGGTTTCTTAGTTTGAGATTTTTGTTTAATGATGTTTTCTCTGATTATATAGCATACTTTTAAAATTGTTGTTATATGTATAAAGAAGCTGATAATAAAAGGCAACAATAATGAGAATGATAAGGTTTTTGACTTATGTCAGAACTGATTAATGGAATCCTGTAGTTGGGGATCTGTACTATGAGAGCAGGTGGCACCCATTTCTAACAGCCTCTTCTTTGGAGGGAAAGGAGGGAAAATCATTGTTTAGCAAATGAAGCCCCTGTGTGGACATGGCCTTCCCCTGAGGATTCTGGGAATTCCTGTATTTTCCTCCTCTATCTCTCACTGCTCTCTCCCTGAGAGACACTCTACTGACAAGACAGATGGCACTATGCTGATAGAGCCCTTGCCCTTGGAACTGGAGGAGCCATGTGGAGCCCCCTGCCAGCACTAAGATGCTTACACCACCACTGGATCCACAAGACCTTCTGCCCACTAGCCTGTGATCTTCCTGCATTTGGCATCATTGCATGTGTTTCGTGAGTCTGAAGAGTATAGCTTGGTAGTAGACATATAAGCTAATATTGGACTTATGGACTTGATCTGGTCTGGGCTGGGCCGTTTTCTCAATGTTCAATTGCTCTTGCATACAAAACCTCTTTCTCACACATATACGAGCCTCCCTGAATTTGCTTCTCTAATCTACCCAGACTAACACACAGGGTAGCAATGACCTGGGGAGATGCTATGATTGGCAGAAGGGGGTCTGGGATTGGGGCTGTGGGGTAAAAGACATAGGCCACACTCAGAAGAGGTCTCTCAGCCATGGACACAGGTGACATGAGGAGTAGCACAAGAGATAGTTTTATAGTTCTTTAAGTGCCATTGTCATTTTCATCCACTAAAACTGTGGGAGAAAATAACTTAGTGGGACAAAAGGAATTTTTCATTGAGGAAGGAAGAAAAATATTCTGTGATTCAAGTGAAAAGTTTACCTATTCTCTGAACTTCCATAATGCCTAAGCAGCTTGAACTTTGACTAGATGCCACCAGTAACCTCCAAACATGCACACAAACAGCTACCGATCTCTCTCTGCACCCCTTCTTTCTAACATACTGTATTGTGAACCAGGTGGAGGATTACACAGATGATTATCGGTTTACATTCAATTCATACGCATTCTTCTCGACTCATTCTTTGCCATTCTCTCAATGTGCTATCACTCGTCCTATTTCCTTCCTGTATTTCCTGTTTCCATTCCTCCTTTCCTAACTACTTTGTCCTTGGGTCAGTACTGCCCTTTTGATATTAAGTAGTTGATTATTTTAATACAGAAGTGAATTTAGTTCCGGACATGAAGTTTAAAGGCCATAGTCTAAGGGACTCCACTAAGGTTTTCTCTGACCAGTAAACCTGGTATCTGTGTTCGGCTCCATATTTTTTCCCTACTCTATCCAAGGCATTCAAATATCTGTATCCCTTCTTGCACCAGTGAACCCTTTCTCACCACTCTCCAGGGAACTGGCCCAGCAAGTGTCAACCATGCAGCATCTCTCCCAGTTGAGCCCACCAGCCTCACAGCCTAGTGGGTGGGTGATGGTTTGCACTTCTTCTTCCAAATCAGAAAGCAAATCCACAAACACTTAGCAGGGACTATGGAGTATGAACCAGCACCAACTCTTTACCTTTTGTCTCTGGAATACATGAGTGAGGGGAGCCACTTGACAATCTTTGTGAGCCCCAAAAACCTTGCAAAGAGAGCAGGTAGGCACCTCGCAATTCAGACAGTAGATGTTGATGCGCTCTTCCTCGTGCTCCTCACACATGGGTTGGTCAGACTTCTTTTCAGGTCTAGAAGATGAGCGGATAGGTGTCCATCAGTTTCCATTGGTCCAACGTAAATAGGGCTGATCAGCTTTGTAAAACCCAATTCCCCTCTGCACCCTCATCATACGAGACACCATCATAAGAAAATCAACCCACTCAAACGATGCACAAAGTGGTAAAACCTACAAGACTCAAATTAGGAAATCAGAAATAGCATTCCACAGTGAAGATAACAAAAAAATAATCAAGGGAATAAAAAAGACATAAAACTGTCAAATGGAGACGAAAACCTTGAGTAGTTAACAAAACAGAACAAACCGCCTTAAACTTGGAAAGAAAATAATAAAAACTAATCTCAAAGAAAATTATAAAATATTGACAAAATAAAAAAGAGAAAACCATAAAAAAATAATTAAACAGTAATATAAAAGCATAAAGCAAAGAAAAATGACAAGAAAACTCCAGACAGAAAATTACGATGAGGAAAGAAACCAGTAGCATGATTAAAAAATACAGCAAAATGACAGTAAATCAACCATATTAATAACATTCATTGTAAGTGGATTAAACTTAGCAGTTAAGAGATAGAGAGTGGCAGAATGGATAAGAAAATAAGACCCATTAATATGCTGCTTCCAGAAAACACACCTTACACACAAAGTCAAACACAGTCTAAAAATCAAAGGATGGAAGAAATATATCAAGCTAATCATAGTCAAAAACAAGCAGTAGTGGCAATATTAAATTTTCAAAATTAGACATCAACGTAAGAGCCACCATGAGAAAAAAATAAGGCCATTAGATGATTAAAGTCACAAATAAACAAGAAGACATAATCATAATAAGCATCTATGCACCCCATGAAAGACCCTCAAAATACGTGAGTCAAACTGTTCAAAGTTGAACGGACAAGTAAACAATATTACAATAGTAGAAGACTTCAATACACCACTCTGGAGGAAAGACAGATCATTTGGAAAGAAAAATTGAAAAAAGATACAGAAGTATAAACCGACATTGATCTCTTAAACATATATAGTAGTTGATCTCTTCTACATACACACACAGAATATTTCACCCCACCACAACACAGTATACATCCTTTTCCAAGGCACATACAACGTACTCCAGAATAGGTCATATGTTAGGCCACAAAGCATTAGTACAATTTTAAACATGAAGATACTACAAACCATCTCTTAAGATCACGTTGCTTAAAAATTAAAAATGAGTAATAGGAAGTTCTAGCTAAAAAAAATCAATTACATGGAAATCAAACAATTTCTGACTTTAACCATTGAAGAAATGAAGAGTAACAGTTAAAAATTCCTCAAAACAAATAAGAACCAAACACAACCTACCCAAACCTTTGGTACACAGCAAAAGCAGTACGCAGAGAGCGCTGCCACGGAGGTAGGCACTACCGTGGTGAGCGCACACCAACTGGGAAGCGAGCACTGAAATCAATGCCTAACACGGTCGATACCTACGACAGCCAGAACAAGAGCCGCAGAATAGACCCTTGTCCCCCAGAAGAAAAGAAACAATACAAATCAGAGCAGAACGAAACGAATCAGAACATTGAAAACAAATATTTAAAAAACAGACAGGGAGGATTAACAAAATTGACAAACCACTAGAAAATGTAACATCTGAAAAGAGGAAGCAAGTAAAATGAAATGGGAGGTATCGCAACAAAGCCAACGAAAATTTTAAAAATCATACAATATTGCCAATGATTGAACTCCAACAAATTTGAAAACCTACAAGAGAGGAGCCAATTTCTAGAAGCACATTACCTAACTAAATTAACAGATTGATATAGAAAATATTAAAAATAAAACATCATAATCAAGTGAGACTTATACCAGGTGTGCAAAGATGGTTTAATGTTAGAAAAACAATCAATGTAAATAACACTAAAGAACCACATGATAATAGCAAAAGATGCAAAAAAGGTATTGTACAAAATCCAATATTTATTTTTTTAATTAAAAACACTCAACAAAGTAGGAGTAGAGGGGAATTCCTCCAAATTGGCATGCAAATTGGTAAGGAAGAATGTAAAACTCTCTCTTTGCAGATGGCATGATTTTATATACAGAAATCCCAAAGATCCAATAAGAAAATTACTGGAACTAATTGAAAATTTTGGCGACATGGCGGGCTATCAGATTCTTGCACATTAAGGAAGAGAATTCTGAAAGGAAATTTAAAAAACAAAACAACACATGAAAACAAACATTTATTTACAATAATCCCCCCAAAGAAGAAACACTTAGGAATAAATCTAACTAGAGAAACAAGAATGCTACATGTTTTAGATAGGAAGAAGACTTAATATAGTGAAATTGTCAATATTACAGTATTTCTGAAAGCTATATATAAATGCAATAAAATTCTTATCCAAATCCAACACTATTCTTCAAAGAAATGGAAAAACTAATCAACTAGATATGGAAAGAAATTAAACCCAAGCAAAACACTACTGAAAAACAAAAACAAAGTAGGCAGCCTCTCATCCTTGATTTCAAAACCTATTACACAGCCACAGTAGCCAAAACTAGTACACAGCCACAGTGATCAAAACACCTTAGTATGGGTATACCGATCAATATGTAGACCAATGGATCAGAACAGAGAACCCAGAAATAAAATCAAGCAACCTACAGACACCTGGTTTTTGATAATTGACTTTAAGACCCATTTATCGGGAAGGGAGTGTCTTTTCAACAAATGGTGCTAGCAAAGTTGATCTCCATCTGCAAAAGAATGAAACAGGACCCATACATCATATTATATACATAACTCAAGATGGATTAAAGACAAATATAAACCCTAGAACTATAGATATCATCAATGAAAAAATGGGGATAGATTTCAGGGCCCTAATACAAGGCATAAACACACTACCCAACATAATTGAAAACATCCACACTGCAGAAGACAAAATAGAGAACTGGGCCTTCCTGAAAATATGACATTTTTACACATCAAAAGACTTTATCATATAAGCGGCCTTCTAGCAGGGAAGTAACAAAGCCCACAGGGAAGAAGCACAACAGCCTATGTGATCATGAGGTGTCAAAGGGAAGAGGTATCAGAAGTTCAAAAACAAGCAATCAAATTAATGTGAAGGGGTATAGATTTGGTAGACATCCAAAACCCACCTGTAAGATAATTGAACAGTTCTCCTCAGACAGGCCACATGGAAGGGATGATACACCCACGGTACAGTAGAGCACTGATGAGCCACTTAACTGTCTTCGAGTTCTTTAATATTTCCTCCCCTTACTATTATGGTTCTTATTTGTTCTACCTCCTTCATCATATTAGATTTGTGTATGTTCATTTGTATATTTAAGATCATTTGGTATACGAAGGCCAAGATAGATAACCCTTCAGAAACAGTAAGAGGAGTAATGGTTCCCTGAGAGTACAGGAAGAGAGGGTGAGGAGGGAATGGGGAATAAGAACCTAATAGCATTCCACTCAATGGGATCTAACAACAGAATTGTATGTGAATGGGTATATTGGATTGTGTAAGATATGGCAAAAAACCAAAAACCAAAAAAAAACTATGGTAGGGAGAAAAAAGAAGGTTCCTGGGGGGCAGAGTGGAGTAAGGAGGGGATAGAGGGGAACTGATATCAAGGAGTTCAAGAAGAAAGAAAATGTTTTGAAACTGATTGTGGTAGCAATTGTACAATACTACTTGATGTGATTGAACTATGGAATGTTATGATATCTCTAAGAGCTCCCAATACAATGATAAAAAAAAAGACTTCATCACAAAAATAAAATAAGGACCCACATATTGGGTGGGGGTGTGTGTGGCACATATATATTGGATAAAGAGTTATGCTTAAAAATTCTATGAAAAACTATAACAATTCAGTAAGAAAAGTATGAATCATCCAATTAAAAAATAGGCAGAGGACATGAATGGACAGGCAATTTACCCCAATCCAACTTCACACTGCCACTGATAATAAAATTTAAAAAACAAACAAACAGAAAATAAAAAAGTGCTGGAGACGATGTGGAGAGACTGGAACCTTCACACAATGCTGACTTACAGACATTATAGAAAAGAGTATGGCACTCCCTTAAACAAATGTAAATAAAAATACCATATGATCTAGGAGATCTCTACTAGGTAGATATCTCAAAGAAATAGAGAACAAAACACAAAGAGATATATGCACACCCATGTTTATAGCAGTGCCATCCTAAAAGCAGAAAGATGAAAACAACCAAAATGTCCAACAGTGGAGGAATGCATAAATGCACCGTGGCACATACAACAGAAGATTATGCGTCCCTGAGAAACAATGATGAAACTGTTAAATACCTCACAACATGGACAAATTTGGATCTCACAGTGAATCCACACATTTGACTTCCTAACAGATCAACACCAATCCCAAGGGGGATTTGCTCACAGTTAGGCACACGATGATTAAAGACTAGGTTTGCCTGTGCCAGTGAAGAAAATAACCAATAAAGCAAATAAAAGTCTGAGACGGACTGACAAGTCACTGCTACTCAAGGCTAACCTGTTCACTGCATAATCACTTCTAGGTGGTGAATGATGATCTGTCTATCCACCTAATGATCTTGAATGTCAAATTCAAGATAAAAAATATGCTTAATTATACTCAGAGTTCATTTCCATTTGGCCTCCTGCTGAGAATTTGCATAGCAGATATATCGAGTCAGAATCAAGTCAGAATCAACATTTGAGCAACACCCTCCGCATTCTTTTGGAGCCCAGGTGAGGTTTACACATACAGAATCTGTTAAAAGGCAGCTTCTGATTCAGTCTATCCAGCTTTAAGATGGAAATTCTCAGCAGGGAGTCAAACTGGAATGAATTGTTTCAAAGCCTTGATTGTAGTGCTTTGGGCTCTCTAGAAAATGATGGGAGGTGTGAGACAGCCTGGTTATGCAAAGCCTTGGAATTTTAATGCTTACATATTTTAATTTAAGATTGAAACTGGCAGTACTCAGATTTCTCAGGA